AGACAGACTGCAGAAAGACTGCAGGACACATTCCTCGATAAAACAAGCCAGAGGGACAAGCACTCTCTCCACATCAGCACCAAGAGGCACGGAGTTGGAAAAACAGAGAAAGAAGGCAAAGTAGCAGTAAGTTTTACAAAGAATGTTTTCTCCCAGGCTGCGGAGACAAAGAGCCCCAGGGCTGCTGACTGTTTTCCCTCCAAAGAGAGTAACCAAGTCAGACTTACAAGGCTTTGGCAGCTCTCATCGGCTCCAGCCAGGCAGGGCCCAGAGAGGGTCCAAGCCCTGCAGGAAGCAGCGCTTAAACGGTGGGCAGAGGAGGCGAGGGATCAGGGCGACAAGTCGTGGCAGAAGAGCTGCTGTTCATTAACAACTGGAACAAAAGACCAGGAGACAATACACTGTTAATCCTAGCAGCCACCAGAGGACTATAAATTGCCAAGCCAAGATACCAGCATTTTTCAGCTCTCCTCTTTCCTGCCAGAGTTAGATTGAGGATGGGTCCAAGTCCCTCACCCCCCACCCAAGTCTTTAAAACATACATTACTGAATCTTTTTGAAGTTCTAACCCTGAAAGATTTATACCCTAAAATGGATTAGAGAAAAATACTGCCCTGAGACACTACTGCAGGGGGCTGCAGTGGATGGATACACTTTTTCATTCCCATTGAGAATGCCAGAGTAGGAGCTGTGTGGTCAGACCCACATGGGTTCAAACCCAGCTCTGACACTTATGAACTATGCTTCCTGACTTCTCTGAGCCTGATTTTTCATCTGTAAAATGGGAATATCACCTCTTACCTCACAAGACTGCTTTGAGTGTTAAAAGGAAAAAAAAAAAAACCCATAGCAGAAGGGCAGCACTAAATAAATGCGGAGTATTACTGTCACTATTAACCTCCCCAGTACCACAGGAGTTTTATCTGTGGCCACATGGATCAAGGAGATAAAGCCCAATTTTCTCTAAGTTAAGAAAGGATTCTTTTGGGTAGTGAAAGCACTTTGAGGGGGAGGGGAGCAATGGAATTAAAGAGAACAGGCTTTAATATAAGATATATTAAACTTCAGAGATATCATCGTGGAACTCAGACAATCATTCTAATTTCCTCCTACTGGGGATAATGTATTCAGCAAAGAGTCTAAATCATTCACAGCAAGCCGGGAACTCCAACAGGAGCCCAATCTTCCAGCAATCCCAGGTTTAGGTGCAGTCCCTGCTGCCAGTAGGAGTTCTTGCCCGGCAATGTTGCATAGTTCCAAAGCTCAGGCCCGATCCTGTCACAACCCTGCTTTAAAAGCCTTCCAAGAACCTTAGGAGAAATCTACACTAAGGGCCTAATCTAAGCCCAATACTTACCACTCTATAGGATCTGGCCCACTAACCCTTCTACCTTTATCTTCGACATGTCTCCCTACACGCCATGCTGGTTTCCAGACACAACTAAACGGTAGCAGTTATCTCTGACTCTAAACAGACAAAAAGGCGGGTTTAAGTCACAGATCCTTGACCAGGCATTTCCTCCATTAGGAAGGCTCTTCGTTCCGTATCACACCCTATACCCCACCCACAGCAAAGTGCTTTTGGCCTGTGTGCCAAAAGCTCTGATAGGTCACTCTGCACATTTGACAATGCCCCCTCCCCAGCTCTGCTGTTAGCTCCCAGAGGGAGGGAAAAGAATCAACATGGATAGTGTACCTACTACAGGCCAGGCTCCATGCTGATTGCCTTCTGTCCACTAACCCATGAAGAAAGTTCTTTGCTCACTGTTACCATCCCGCCCAGGAACTGGTACACAGCTTCATCCATTCAAACTAACCGAATGCCTATCACACACCAGGCTCTGGCCCAAATGCTAAGAATATGTTGGGGAAGAAGACAGACATGATTCCTATTCTATTCTCATGGAGGACAGAAACAATCAACAAGTAAACACATAAGAAATACCAGATGGTAAAAAGGGCTGTAAGGAAATAAAACAGGGACATGAGAAAGTACATAGGGGAGAGAGCTGAGGATACTCTAGCTAGGTCAGTCAGAGGAGCCCTCTCTGAGGTGACACTCGAGCTAAGATATAAATGAGAAGCCAGATGTACCAAACAGAGGGAACAGCAGGTACAAAGACTGGCCCATTCAATAAGTAGAAATGAGGTCGGTGAGACTAAAGGTGGGGGGCAAGGGACGATGCTCAGAGGAAGACAGAGGCCCGACCGTGGGTTCTGTGGCCCACAAAGAAGAGGCTGGGTTTTTCCTCGAAGCACAAAGAGAAGCCACTGGGAAGTGTTGGAGCTGAGGGTTGACATGATCTGATGAGCCTCTGAAGACGGAGTTCACTGCCTATGGCGTGGAAATGGAGGGCAAACAGGTGAGAAGTGCAGGCCCAGCATTGTAGGAGTCCAGCTGTCAGAAGCAGGGACTCAGCCGCTGGAGCCGTCTCACGAAGGCAGAGATGGCTGTGGATTTATGAGTTAGGATGATAAGCAATGGTATTAACCAGATCCAGGTTAGCAGCAGCAGAGTCAGGTAAACACCAGCCCAGGGCACTTTACTTCCCAAGCCTCGGTTTCTTTATCTGAAAAACAGGGACCCCTTAGGGTTGTTGCACACATGCAAGTTCTTAGCGACAAGCATGGGCCAGAGCAGGTACTCAAATGTGCGTGTCCTTCCCCTCATTTTTCCTCATTTCTCCGAAAAGGGTGGGAATCTGCTCTATTGAAGGAAGGATAGTGGCAGCCTCGGTCTCACCATTCCACTGCGTTCAGGTCACGTTTTAACGCCTATAAGAAGATAAGGAAAGTCTCCTCACTCAGGAAGTAAGAAGAGCCACAATGTAGGTACAAGAAGAGAAAAAAATCCCTCTTCTTTTCTTCTACAGTTTTACAACTGTAGGAGACCTGCTAACTGTAGACCAAACTAAGGACCTGCCAAATCCTTGGGGGTTATCATTTGGTTATATGGGATAAGGCTGGTGCATGAAACATTTTGTCCTACAAAGAGGCTCTTCATAAATGCATACATTAGAAGGGGGCAGGGGTAGTGTGAAGTGACATGGGGAAGCAGGTGAAAGAGCTCCGGCTTTGGGATCAGGAGGACCTGGGCTGTGCTATTTACCAGCAGCCTTCCCACAGTCCCAATTTCTTCAGCTATTAAATGGAAACCGCCACACTCCTTGCAGGGTTCGCCTGGGAAGTGGCAAACACACGAGAAAAGCGAAGCCAAAATAAAGAACTGCATGTGCTAGTGTGTAGAACCTCCAAAATTAGGTTCCGTGGTCACACAGTAAAGGAGAAAGCCAGACCTCAAGCCTGGCTCTGACTCCAAAAGTATGTCCTTCGCTATTCACCTACACTAGTCACTAAAAAAAAAAAAAAAAAAAAAAAAAAAAAAAGTGCCTTCTTGTTTTATTTTAACCTGTCTCTTCCATCTCCAACCTAGACTGGCTCAGAGTACGTGTCTTAAAATGTGCTTGGACATGACTGACCAAACAGAATTCAGTTATAAGGAGGGGGGAAGAGAAAAGGGTAGTCATCTGATGACTGAGACATGAATTGAAGACTTTAGGCAGAGTGACCTTGGGCAGGTCCCTTCTCTGAGCCTTCATTTCCTCTACTGTAAAATGGAGTAATGACCTCAGACTGCCTACAGAATGGAACAACTGGTAGGGAACAGAGATGAAAGTACTTAACACACTCATCACTGCAGCTGGGACCCCATAGGCCCAGCGACCAATGAAGCCATCTGCCACCAAGCCAATGAAACTATCTTCCTAATGTATATTCCCATATGTGCTCGTAGGTGTAGAGAATATCATATCATTGGAAGGAAACAGAAGGCAATGGAAAACAAGATAACCAAGTACTCGGGTCAGCAGTGAAGAAAAAGACTTCTTTTAGCTATACACCCTTGTGTGCCATGTGCTTATACGAATTCTTCATTTTCATCTGAAAAACAGAACAAGTTTTAAAGCCCTGTCCATAGATTTAACTGTGGCAAAATGCGTCCAGAAAAATAATCCACAAAGGTATGATAGCAGCTTCCTCTGGAGAAATAGGAGAGGTCATTAGGGGACTTTTGCCTAATTTGTAATGGTGTATTTCACAAGCAGAATGTATTTATGTATTATCTGTATAATTAAAAATTAATTAAATGGTACATCTTCTAAGGGCATTTCGGCAGTACCCATTATGACTGAAAATGCACTCTGCCCTTTGCCCCAAACCAGTTCAGTTTCAGGAGCTAATTCTACAGATATGTTAGCACCCCCACCAGACTTGTTCTAGAAAATTCACCGAAGCATCATTAGCAAAAACTGGAAACGAGATAAATGTCCATCATTAAGAGTTAAGAAAACGTTGGTACCAGCGCACAAAGGAATTTTATATGACCTTTAAAAATTATGTAGCTTTGTGTGTACTGACATGGAACTCTTCGCGTTGAGTAAAATAGTGTATATGGTGTTACCATTTTGTGAAGAAAAGGAAGAGAAAGGGGGTTTACATACACACGGGTATGCTTGTCCTTACGTGGTTTTTCTGAAATGATACAAGGAACAGGGAACAGCGGCTGACTCTGGAAATGGGAACCAGGAGACCAAAGAACTGAAGAGTGGAGACTTCTTTTTTTGACACTTTTGACATACACCCTTTTTGCAGTCTTTGTGTTTTCTTACCAGTTCGTGTATTACAAACTTATCTTCTAAAAAAAAATTAATAAACCAAAAAAACAAAACCAAAAACTTTAAGGAAGGCACCTTCCTGCGCGGTCGTTGTGGGTGGTTAGAGCTTCCAAGTCAGCCAGGCCACGAGTTCGAGTCCCAGGGCCTCCGCTCCCTTGCTGCGGAGCCTCGGGCGCGTCCCGTCCGCCTCTCGCGACCTGGGTGGCCCCGGCCGTGAGGTGAGGCCACCTCCCTTCCCCGGCAGCGGCTCGGGCGAGCTCGGACCACGGGGCCCGGCCGCTCCGCCCAGCGTCCCCGAGCCCGGCTCCCGCCCCGGCCCGCGCTCACCGCCAATGATGGTCCGGATGAGGGAGGCGTGCCCGGGGCAGTCGACCAGCGTGACCTGAAGCTGCGGCTCGCCGGGCTCGGGCTCGGGCTCGGCTCCGGGCGCCGCCGGGGGCGCGGGCAGCGCCGCCCGCAGGCGCGCGGGCAGAGGCACCGAGAAGCACGAGAAGCCCAAGTCGAGCGTGATGCCGCGCTCGCGGCTCTGCGGCTGCTTGTCGAAGGCGGCGGTGGAGGCCGTGGTGCTCAGCGCCCGCGCCAGCGCCGTCTTGCCGCTGTCGATGTGGCCCAGCACGCCCACGTTCACGTTCACCCGCCGCCCTGCCATGCCGCCGCCGCCGCCGCCGCCGCCCGCCCGGCCCGCCCGGCCCGCCCCTCCCGCCCCTCCCGCGGCCGCCGCTGCGGTCCGGCAGGTTAAGCCGCCCCCCCGCAACCCTCGCGCCGGGCACGCCCGTTCCGGCCCCGAAGCTTCCGCCCTCTCGGCGCCCGCGGGCGCTGCCTGGCACTGGAGGAGAGAGCCCCGGGGTCGAACTTGACCGGGGTCGCCGACCGTGAGGCTGTACTCTCACCTGGCTCCTGCCCCCCGAAGCCTCGAGGAGTCCAAGATTGGGTGGATCCGTCCATCCATTCATTCATTTTAACAAGCCCTTGTCAATTGCCCCCTGGGTACCAGGCACTGCTTATTCACGGTACTGGGATACGGCGCTCTCTCCACGTTACACTGTATTTGGGCGGGGGTGGGAGTCAGACACTAAATAGGTGAGCCTGGAACCAGACCCTTTCAGAAAGTGAGAAGCCTTCCAGGGAAAATAAAAGCAGAGATTAAAAGGACTAGAGCACCAGGGGAAGGGAGGACAGCTAATTTACAATAAAGGGTCAGGGAAGACCTCTCTCCAGTTGCTGACTGAGCTGAGGCTGGAATGTTGAGAAGGAGCCAGCCCTGGGAGAATCTGGGAAAGACTTAGAAGATGAAGGGCTGTCATCTTCTGACCCTGGAAGTCTATAGCCTGGCCTCAGGACAGGCTGTAGAGCTCCAAATTGTACGTAAAATGTTATGTGCATGTGCTTGTACTGGGGAGTACATAACTCTCAAGGGATGCTTGAAGTGTCTGGAACCACTAAAAAGATTGTCAACCACGGTCACCAACCAGGGTTCACAAGCAGGTGTCTTCACTGGCTAGGCACCTGACTCAAGGAGAGAGATTAGCAAGACTAAAACTCTTGGACTTAAAATGCCAGCAAGTGTGGAGACTGGAGACAGGAACAGCATGTGCCGCATAGAGGAAGCCACTGTTCACCTCCAGACAATTGGTACCAGGCAGGAATGCTAACCCAGCATCGCCCATCTTCCCATTTTTCAAGAGAAGGGAGCATTTCTATATGAAATCTGACTTTTTACATGTCAACAACTAATTTAGCTTTTAATTGAAACACTATGGTAGGTAGCCAAGCACAGAATCTACTCCATTCTTCCTGACCGCCAGTTTGCCGTCTGTAATGAGCTAGGCCGTGCTCTGATATATTCACACTTGGCAGTAACTGCTCCCTGATGCCTCCTGTGGTCCAGGCCCTGCATTAGCAGCAACAGGGTCCCCGAGGTAAACAGACACGGTTGGTCAGTCCATCCTGCTGCACAGGGAAGAGGAGGGCATGTGTTAGGATAGCTAACACCAAGTAACTGCCACTTGAGAAAACATGTGCACAACATAGGATGAAGACGGAGGGCAGGGGTTTAGAGAAGGGCCAGATAAGACACTTTGGTCGGGCACATGGCACTCACTGATGGAAAAGGTACTGCTAGGTGCTTGCACACAAAATACCCAGACAGGAAAGAAGCCGCATGGTAATCTTACTCTGAATATGTCTTTCCCAGTATAGTTTTAGTTTGAACAAATGGCCTTCTAATTTTTTTTAATGTTTATTTATTTTTGAGAGACAGAGAGACAGAGCATGGGCGGGGGAAGGGCAGAGAAAGAGAGGGAGACACAGAATCCGAAGCAGGCTCCAGGTTCTGAGCTGTCAGCACAGAGCCCAACGCGGGGCTCAAACCCACAAACTGCGAGATCATGACCTGAGCCGAATTCAGACGCTTAACTGACTGAGCCACCCAGGTGCCTCCGAACATGTGGCCTTCTAAAATGTCGCAGGCAAAAGCTCTGGAGAGTCAATTATAGGCTGTGATACTGTGATTTATAATAAGAAATATTTTAGGGACGCATGGGTGACTCAGTCGGTTAAGTGTCTAACTCTTGGTTTTGGCTCAGGTCATGATTTCACAGATTCATGGGTTCAGCCCCGCATTGGGCTCTGCGCTGGCAGCTGGGAACCTGTTTGGGATTCTTGGTATCCCTTGCTCTCTGCCCCTCCCCCACTGGTGCTATCTCTTGTCTCTCTCAAAATAAATACATAAACTTAATAAGAAAAAGAAGTATTTATTTCATAGGGTGCCTGGGTGGCTCAGTCAGTTGAGCATCTGACTTTAGTTCAGGTCGTGATCTCAGGGTTCGTGGGTTCAAGCCCTGCGTTGGGCTCTATGCCATCAGCACAGAGTCCACCTCGGATCCTCTGTCTCCCTCTCCCTCTGCCCCTCCCCTGCTCTCTCTCTCTCTCTCTCAAAAATAAATAAACATTAAAAAAAAAAAGAACTATTTATCGGGTCTCCCTCCTGCGCCTGGCACAGAGCTCCAAAAACCCTTGGAACTTCCTGTGATGAGAATGAGGTGTCTTTTGTTATATTACTGAGGTGACTTTTGGAAAGCACCTAACGATGGAGGCTGGCTGCCAGGGGAGCCAACCAAGTGATTAGAGTTGGGACATTTCACCTGACCCCTGGGGAGGGGAAAAAAGAGGAGCTGGAAATGGAATCAATCGCCAGTGGCCAATGATTTAGTCAATCATGCTTGTGTAATGATGCCTCCCTAAAATTCCAAAAGGGCGGAGTTCAGAGAACTTCCAGGTTCACTTCTGGTGAGCTCAGATAAAGCATGGAAGCCCCATGCCCCTTCCCACATAGTTTGACCTATGTATCTCTTCTTTCTGGCAGTTTCTGAGTTAAATCCCTTTTTTTATGTGTTTATTTTTATTTTTGATAGAGAGAGAGCGTAAGCAGAGGAGGGGCAGAGAGAGAGGGAGACAAGGAATCTGAAGCAGGCCCCAGGCTCCAAGCTGTCAGCACACAGCCTGACACGGGGCTCGAACCCACAAACCGTGAGATCATGACCTGAGCCGAAGTTGGACGCTTAACCAACTGAGCCACCCAGGAACCCCAATCCTTTTGTAATGAACTTGTAACCCAGTAGTAAGTTGTTTCTCTGAATTCTGTGAGCTGCTGTAGCAAATTAATCAAATTTGAGGAAGGGGTCATTGGAACTTCTGATTTAGAGCCGGTCCTCAGAAGTGTGGTGACAAACTAAACTTGCAGTTGGCTGCTGAACAGGTTGGGTGCAGTCTCATAGGACTGAGCCCTTAACATACGGAAGCTGATGCTAGCTTCAGGCACATAGTGTCAGAACGGAATTGAATTGTAAGAGAAAACTTTACCCTTCTTCTCTCCTAGATTCTGTGGCTAACCTAATAATTAAATTGATATAAGACAGATTCACAAGTTAGCCAGGCAAATTTGGTTTTGTACATATGAGAATTCACAAAAATATGAGACTCAAAGAAGTGACTAGAGCAGACAGCTTTTTTTATGTTTTAGATAAAGAAATAATACATTTGTGAAGAATCGACAAGAAAAAGAAGCTTGGGCTTAGCATAGCAAATTAGCGAAGAAGTAAACGAGGTTTATTTATACAGCCTTCTGGGCCCTGAATTCCCCATCTCTGGCGATAAGAATGTCTTCTACCCGGGTACCCTTCGTGTGGGAAATTTATTTCCTGCTTTCAGGGAGACAAAAGAGGGCCAGCATGGTTTTATTGCACTGTGTCCTAAGTACTTTAATTCCGAATAATCCATATGCCAAAGTGACATATTTGGGGACAGCCTGCCCTGAACCTCAACCCTGTTAAAAACACGACAACCGGGGCGCCTGGGTGGTGCAGTCGGTTAAGCGTCCGACTTCAGCCAGGTCACGATCTCGCGGTCCATGAGTTCGAGCCCCGCATCAGGCTCTGGGCTGATGGCTCAGAGCCTGGAGCCTGTTTCCGATTCTGTGTCCCCCTCTCTCTCTGCCCCTCCCCCGTTCATGCTCTGTCTCTCTCTGTCCCAAAAATAAATAAACGTTGAAAAAAAAATTAAAAAAAAAAAAACACGACAACCGGCCCAAAATGGAGTCACTTATGCAAAGCCCTGTGTCACCAAACTGAGCATTAACTTAGTTACAAATTTGGCTCTCCGAGAAATGGAATCTTAAAGCAGTCAATGCCTGGTGTAACTTCCTTGTTCCTGCACCCCTAGTATAGTGCATTTGAGATTCGTCCACGTGGCCACATGTCACCACATCGTGATTGCCTTCTCGTGGTTGTGTAGTATTCCACTGAGTGGACGGACCACCATTTGCTTACCCGTTCATCCACTGAAAGACAGGAAGACATTTTACTGGAGGTGAATTGGCAGTTTTGACTTTTAAATTATGCAAGAGTATAACCTATTCAATAAACAAGTAAATTTTTTTTTTTAATGTAAAATAATGTCAGGGCGCCTGGGTGGCTCAGTCGGTTAAGCATCCGACTCTTGGTTTCGGCTCAGATCATGATCTCATAGGCGTGATATCAAGCCCTGCGTCAGGCTCCAAGCTAAGAGTGGAGCCTATTTAAGACTCTCTCCCTCCCTCTCCCTCTTCCCCTCCCTCCCTTGCACCTGCTTCCTCTCTCTCTCTCTTAAAAATAAATTAAAAGTAAAATAATGTCCTAAAGACACCAGCGGGACTAAGATCCTTTAATTTTTAGTCCTTAGTTGGAGAGTTATAAATGCTTCTCACTGTTGCCTGTAGACGGACTTGTCACCCCGCCCCATACCCACCACGCTCCTCTCTGGCCCCCAAGAAGCTGTGCAATCCTGCGAATGGACAGTGCCAATCCACCTTGCCCCACACTCACCCAACAGCTATGCCTTTGGCCTGCCACAACTTCAGAAAGCTTCCTCCTTATTATGTTCCGCACTAGTCACAGTTTGAGGAAGTAAATGACAAAAACCCTCCATGAAACTGACTGAAACAAAACAGAACAAAAAGGAAATTCACTGGCCTGTGGTATAGTTAAAAGTACAGGCCCTAGCAGCTGTGTGCTCATGCTTGAATCCCACCTCCGCTGTTTGAAAGCTGCATAGTCTCAGGCAAGTTACAAAATCTCTTTGTGCCTCAGTTCCCTCATTTGTGAAGGAACTCAC